ATACTCACAGGATAGATTGAATGCAAGAGGGACAGACGAAATCTACGCATAACCTACCGAGCGAGCTCGAATAAATGGTTGCCGCATCTTCAAAGGGCAGGAAATTGGGGAGAGACATGATCGCTAACTCCCTGAAGGGACACGGCGCTAAGAAGATCTTACGCCAATACTTTCTTGTTTATAACTCTATATATATTCATATTCACTTTTTCCTGATATAAACTTTGATACATTTTTTTTTTAATGGAAAAAAAGCCACTATTTACAATTCTTTTGCGTTTTCCCTTCTAACAATAACTGCTTCATCTTTCTTACTGTCGTTTTTTCGCCATTATTTGCTAAACCATTCAATAATTTCATGGAGAAGACAGCTGGACATCCCGGGTTACCGAAAATTAAACGATGATGATGCGTTGTTTGCAAGAAGCAGCTTGAATGATAGTTGCTAGGATTTACGCGCATTGCGAAAGAAAAATGTATTAAAAAAAGACATAAATCTTAACCTATAATGCACTTTATGACGATCTTGAAACATTACTTTCCGGTCAAATAGTAGCAAGGGAGGATCGGAGTGACGATCAATCACTACTTGTCAAACAGGAACAAAAAGCGTTGAGGCAGAACACACTTTAGTGATTCAAGTCAGCGTTGATTCTGTATTGACCAATGGTTGGCTTTATATGATTTTTAAACGTTATTTTTTTTGTCTGTTTTTATTTAATTTTTGTTTATAGATGAAGAGGGTTGATCTGAAGGTTAAACTGTTTGTGTTGAAAATGGAACCAGCAAAAGGTTATAAAACGGAAGGAAGGAAAGAAAAAGAAAACGAGAAAGAACGAGGGGAAAGGGGACAATATAAAAAAAAAGATAGAAAGGAAGCGGGAAAAGAAGGATAAAGTTACGTAAGATCAAAGAAATAGAAGAAGGGGAAAGAGCGAGAAAAAAGAGACAAAGAAGAGAGAGAGGGGAAGAGAAACATAGGAAGAATAATAAAAAAAAGGAGATAATTAAATACTCCTAGAAAGTTGAAATATATAGACAAAGAAGAGAGAATTGAATTCGAGAAAAAAAAGTAATAGCGAAAAAAACAAAAACGAAAATGAGAAATCAATGTAGTTTCTCGAAGCAGAAGTTGGGAAGGAGTTAAAAGAACAAGTAAGAAAATAAAAAATAGCATTTAATAAAAAATAATAAGAAAAAGATATTGGATGAAGGAAATGGAAGAAAACGTGTTTAGAAAAACTAAAGAGAAAAACAAATAATATACGGTATAAAAAATAAGAAGGAAGAAAGAAAAAGCTAAAAAAAAACCTACTTATCACAGAAATAGAAAATGGGAAGGAGAAAAATGTTTTTCGATAATGGCATGTCTTGTATTCATCTGTCGTCTGCTGTAAATGTAAAGTGAAATGCCATAGTTTAGATATTTTTAAGTGTTTCGGAGATAAATCATACAGGAAGCATTCTCGTGGCAATGTCGGTTGGGAAATCAAACAAGGTTTTAAGTGATAATAGTATCTATCTATCTATCTATCTATCTATCTATTTACTCGGGTTTTTAAATATCTAAACCTGTTACTAGCTTTATCTCTTTCTTTATATATAAATATGACTGTGTATCTATCCGCTTCATTCGCTTTACAACTGATCATGTCACCTATCTATCTATCTATCTATCTATCTATCTATCTATCTATCTATCTATCTATCTACTCGTGGCTTTTAATATCTAAACCTGTTACGAGCTTTATCTCTTTCTTTATATATAAATATGTCTGTGTATCTATCCTCTTCATTCGCTTTACATCTGATCATGTCACCTATTTATCTATCTATCTATCTATCTATCTATCTATCTATCTATCTATCTATCTTTTTTCAATATTTCAAATCTATTACTATATTTTATGTCATTTCATATCTAAATATCTATCTATCTATCTATCTATCTACTCGTGTTTTTTAATATCTAAACCTGTTACTAGTTTTATCTCTTTATATATAAATATATCTATCTGTGTATCTATCTGCTTCATTCGCTTTATATTGGATAATGCTATCTATCTATCTATCTATCTATCTATCTATCTATCATTCTCTTTATATCTCAGTATGTCATCCATTTGTCTTTCTGCCTGTCTATGTACCTATGTATTTATCTATCTTTAATTCTCTTTATATATCAGTATGTTATCTATGTGTCTTTTTATATCTTAACATTTTAATCTATCTATCTATTTTTATATATTTGCCTTTTACTAGCCTTCTCTTTCTTCGCCCTCTCTCTCTCTCTCTCTTTCTCTCTCTTTGCCTATCTGTTTCATGCTCTTTAATTCTCAGTATGATACTTATCTATCTTGCTACTCAATCTCTTTGCATCTCTACCTGTTATTTTCTTTCTTTCTTTCTTTCTTTCTTTCTTTCTTTCTTTCTTTCTTTCTTTCTTTCGTCACCGAATATATTTAGTTTGCAATATACTTATCTCTATCTATATACATAACTATATATTCAATAAACCAAGACCATTTCAAGAGATTTATCGGGTTTACCATCTCAAGAGTTTTGCGCCGAAACTCTCATCAGGGCCAGATGTTTGATAAATCAAAGATTTGGCCGTAATTAGCGTTTCGATGAGAAATTCTTGTCAGTTAACCGGATGAGTCACTTGAACATTTCTTGTTTGAGTGGATGTTATAGCCTCCAGTTATCTAATTAGCACTTTTTCGGAGCAATTTGACTCAGAGAAAAATGCAACTAATGGTATCAATTTGTTCCGAACATCACTTTCCTAACATGTCTCCATCACTCTTGCAACTGTTGTAGCTCACGCAAACATATACACACACACACACACATGCATATATGTACAGGGTGCGATGGATAAATTATCGGCTAAATTGCGCAACAATGAAAATAACACTGGCATCTTATTTTAACAGATATATTTACCAAAATTACACAACAATATCTTGAAATACTAAAAAGTAAATTTATTCAATAAACTCGCAATTGGTTTCAATCAAGACATCCAGACGACTTCGGAATCTCTTTGTTGTGTCGTGGCACAATAGTAAAAATAAGAAAATCAAGTCGAAGTTGGGTTAAGGAACAAGTGTATTTAACTACTTAGTTAGGCAGTGTAGTACTGTCGCTGCTACTACCGGTAGGTACTACTGACACTATATATATAGTGAGAACCGGTGTAATTCCCTTGTGTTAGAGGCCGGTGTAACACTCTTGCATCTCTTCTGGATGGTCGCCTTGTTTAAATTGGTGAATGCTGACATAATGCCTGCATTCAGGTCATCTTTGGTGTTACAAAGAGTTTTGTTGGTCTCTCACTCAACTGCACCTCACACATAATAATCAATGGGGTTTCAACATGGGGAGTATGGTAGACAGATATAAGCAGTGATGTGGTGTCAGGAATTGTCTGAGAGCTATGACTGGGTTCTGCTGCTTGGGTCTTCTGGTAGCCACCCTCTTGACTCAGGGCAGTATTACCTCCTGAAGGCATTTGATGTAGGTCTACATGTTGAATCTGAGGTAATGTTCTTTTTTAAATTTTCACCCTAAGTAAGCCGGAAGTGACACACAAGGGGTTACAGAGTGTGGTAGCAAGAATAAAGAGACGTGACTGAGGAAAGGATAAAGAGAAGGACGAGGAACAAAATCAAAGCATCAGAAGTTATATATTGACATTGCAATTGAATATTTGAAGAATATATCTGTCAAGGGAAGTAAGTAAGAGGAACTAAGATTTCCACAGACGGGGAGTGCGAGACACGAAGCTATTCGACAGTGAACGTGTGAAAATGAGACGCCAACCTAGTAACACGCTTAAATTTATGCAGTTTGGAAGCAGCGAAAGTAGCTCGTCGGAGCAGTACCGTGAATGTACTTGGAGAAAAGCCAGAGGGAAGCGACGGTACCTCTCTGAAAAAGTGACTGTAGGCGAGATGCTAGACTAGGACCAACCACATCGCATACCCGTCTCTGGATTTTGTCGAGGACCTGGGACGAACAGAGGTGACTCCAGAACATATATGGCAGCAGTATTCCATGAAAGAGCGAAAGGTTAACTTAGAGATTTGAAGGATGACCTCAGGCGAGAAAATCCTTCTGGTGCGACACAGTGAACCAACTTTCCTTGTGATAGATGAAGCTAATGATTCAATGAGACGCTCTCGTGGAGTTGAACATCTGACAGTTTAATGGGAGGCAGGAAAGGTTATCTGCTGTGGGTAAATGAAAGCAGTTTTGTTTTTGAGGCGTTAAAATTTACCAGTGGTTTCTTGCCCAAGTTAGCCACAGGTAGAGATCCTTTTCGAGAGCAACGGCCAGGTTATTTTTGTCAGCGATACCAGAGGCAGGAGTAAATAGTAGTGTCTTCTGCGTAGATTCCTACTTGGGAACTGATGACACCAGGAGGATCGTTAAAGAAGATCAGAAACAGTGTAGGACCCGGGATTGAGCCTTTGTGAGAAATGAACTGGAGACGAAGCTGTTTACGACCACATTCATTTCACGGTTTGACAGGAATGATTGTATTGTCAAATAATCGTCCTGAAATTCCGAATCCCTGAACCTTACGAAGAAAGCTGGCATGTGAAACACTATCAAACGCTTTAGATATATTAAGAGCCACGGCTTGAGCTTCTCTGTTATTTTGAACTGCTTGGTAAACAAATTCAGTTATGGCCGTGAGCACATCAGCGATAGATCAAGCAAAGCGGAAACTATGTTGCCTGTCAACCGCAGATCATGTGATGTAAAGCGTTTAATCACTTCGGCGTAGATTAAGACCTCGAAGAATGCCGACGAGTTATAGGATGGTAGTTAGATGGGTCAGAAGGGTCACCAGAGTTCTTAAAGACAGGGACAACAGATGAGGACTTCAAAAAGCTGGAAAAGCAAGAGTCGTTTAGGCAGTAGTTATATAGTTTGGAGAGGACAGAAGCCAGTACACATTTCTTCAGGACAACGGCAGGTAGCCCGTCCCTACCACTAGCCTTATGGGAGTCTAATTTAGAGACGATGACTAATACCATCGATGGAGTTATGCGCATCTTTCTCAATAGAACCTCAGTTCTAGGCGGGGCGGGGCGGGGCGGGAGGAGGATCGGGTGAAGGTATAACGTTGCCGTCACTAGTGATCGCTTCAAACACCATAATGTTGACTGGATATATCATCCAACTCTTTTCGAATTCTCTGCACTGTGCTCAGGTTGACACCCAAACATTCTGAATGTTCGTATTGGAGTTTTAAAGACAAACAACAGGCACGCGCAATTAAAAATATAAAATGGCGACAATTTACTTATCGTTCTCTCTATATTTAGTAACTGATAAATTTTATAAAATGTAGAGCTAAAGAAATCATAAAATTATAAAATATAATAAATAAAAATGTCTTAACTACTTGAGTTTCTTCCCAATGATTAGGGATCATGAGGCTAAGTTATATTTTTATAATGATAATTTGCGTATGCAGCCTTCACATTTAAAAATGTCATTACATTTAATAATATTGTTATTTTATTATATATATTGTAGATATTGTTATATGCTCTTTTATATAATAATATTTAAAGGCGGTGGCTGCACTTACAATTCATATTTGTATAATCTTAATTGATGATACATGACTATAGAGTCTTTAATGAATTGTGTATCATTTATCTTTTAAGATGATCCCTTACATAAGAAATATGAAATATATATATATATATATATATATATATATATATATATATATATATATATAAACTAAAGAAATGCATAAACGTCAGAAGAAATGAAAAACTCCAAAGATGGATACGTTGGTACGGCTTATAAACCCATCCCAATGGTTTAGTAATACAAGTCTTAATAATTAACCCATACCTGGAGGGGGAATGAAAGGTAGATTCGTGAATTCGTCTTGGAAGTCAAACAATTTCTGCGATCACATAACCGCTTTTATCTAATTTCCCGTCCTTCTCTTTATCCTTTCCTCAATCACGTCTCTTTATTCTTGCTCACACTCTCTGTAATTGTTTGCGTACTAATAGCACTTCCGCCTAGCTTGATGTGAAAAGCTAAAGAAAAACAAAAGGCATTGCCTCAGATTCAACACGGAGGCCTACATAACATGCTTTCAGGAGGTAGTGCTGCCATGAGTCAAGAAGGTGGCGGCAAAAACCCAGTCATAGCTGTCAGACAATACGTGACACCACATCACCGCTTATATCTGGTTACACAAGTACTCATACAGAAACCCCATTGATTATTATGTGTGAAGCCTAGTTTAGCGAGAGACCAACAAAACTCCATGTAACACCAAAGATGACCTGAATGCAAGGATTATGACCGCATATACCAACTTAAACGAGGAGATTTTCCAGAAGAGATGCACGAGATTCCAAAGTCGTCTGGTAAGGGTGGTTGAAGCCAATGGCGATTTGATTGAATAAATTTATTCTTTACTATTTCAAGATATTTTTTTTGTAATTCTCGTAAATATATCCTTTAAAATGAATAGTCAGTGATCTTTTTTTGGATATTTTAGACGACAATTTATCCAGGGCACACCGCATATTTCGTAATATCAAACAAATTCCTCATAAACATGTCTATACATCAGTTGTTCCACCGGAAACCAATTAATTTGCTTCCCTGACATGAGTGGCTTAGTAATACAAGTTTTAATAATTAACCCATACCTGGAGGAGGAAGGAGAGGTAGATTCGTGGATTGGTCATGGCCATCAGACAATTTTTTGTGATCACATAACCGCTTATATCTGGCCACCTAACTCCCGAGGCTGCAACCTCCTTGTAACAATAAAGATGATCTGAAGGCAAGGATGATGGCATTATTCATTAAATGTAGCCGTCTCTACTACTCCAATAGCTCATGTCTCGCACTCCCCGTCTGTGGAACTCCTTTCCTCTTACTTGCTTCCCTGGCAGTTATAGTCTTCAAATATTCAAATGTAATGTCAATCGACATCTTTTGATGCCTTGATCTAATTCCCCGTCCTTCTCTTTATCTTTTCCTGAATCACGTCTTTTTTACTCTTGTTCCCCACTCTCTGTAATCCCTAGTAATCGCTAGTGTTACTTCCGCCTTGTTTGGGGGGGAAAACCTTAAAAAAAACATTGCCTCAGATTCAACACGGAGGCCGACATCAAATGACTTCAGGAGGTAGTGATGCCATGATTGAAGAGGGTGGCTGCTGGAAGACCCTATGTCTAGGAACATGAGTCTACATCATGACGCACAAGCGGCCGAACCCAGTCATGCCTGTCAGACAATTTCTGACACGATATCACCGTTTACATCTGGCTACCAAACTCCCCATACTTAAACACCCTTAATTATTATGCGTGAGGCGCAGTTGAGTGAGAGGCCAACAAAACTCCTTGCAACACCAAAGTTGACCTGAGAGCAGGGATTATGTCAGCATTCACCAACTTAAACAAGGAGACCGTCCAGAAGAGATGCAGGAGATTCGGA